CCTAAACCCTAGAGCAGTCTCAAGGTTCAGGCTTTCTGTAGGGTTCCGGTTAGGGAGTGTAGGGGTTTGGGGGTTTAAGGGGGGTACAGTTGATGATATAAAACCTGCATTACCTTAAGGACCCTAAACCATGGGAATTATGGTATATTCCTTATTATGGGTAATGCAGGATTTATATCATCAACCGTAGGACCCCGTGTTTAAGGGTTTTGGGCCAACCGTAAACTCATTTCTGCGGATGCACAGTACACCGGAACAACGACGACAGCCAAACCGAAAGAGCCTCATGAGAAAAAACATGGACAAGGGTTCAGGGCGTTCCTAAACCCTTAAACCCCACCCCCTTAACACTTGAGGCCTAAACCCTTGCTCCTATACTACCCCGTAAAACCTGACACTGTCCACAAAGATCCATGAACTCTAAACCCTAAACCCCAAAAGAAGCCTTTCCCTATAAACCCCATAAGCCCTCCAAGCACTAAACTGTAAACGGGCCTGAAACCCTATACGGTCCCGTAAAGGAACCCTTACAAGGAACCCTTATAGATCCCTCAGAGGGACCCTTATGGATCCCTATGATAAGAACCCAGATGTTGGTGAACACATCCTTCTTATAGTCTCCATGGTAGTTCCTTTTTTGGTTAACCACAATCTCTATTATAGGATCCTAACCATAAAACTGGATAACCAAAAAAAGGAACTACAGGGCCTGCCGCCACTGCGCGACCGCACGCTTCGAGAGTCGCTCGGGCCTGGGGCCAGTGTTCGGGTAGTTCGCGTAGGGTTCGAAAGTACCTGTAGCCGAAAAGACCTACCTTCTTAGGGTGCCTTAGTAAGGTTTCTCTCTATAGTTCCTTAAAATCCCTAAAAAGGTAAGTCTAGTTTGTAACCCCAAGGTTCTAAAGGACCCCGTAATAATGTATTCGGTTTTAGGATAGTAGTTATGTAGGTTAGGATTTTGCAGAGTGTATGCTTTTTTGCTACTTGGACTCTTAGGGTAGGGTTCAATAGAAGGGTTTATGTTAGGGTTTAGGGGTTTAGGAGGTTTAGAGGTTCAACTCTTGGGGGTTGGAGCTCCGGCAGCGGAGGTTAGTAAGTTATGGGTCTAGTTTATGTCGGATTCTACCTAGGGGGTCATAGCCTCACCCTGTTTGCACCACACCTACTTCCTACTTCCTCGTGTAGCAGATGCACACACACACACATGCATTAACGTATTAACATTGTCACATATATGCATATGCGAGCACTTCAATGAAGACTTATAGGACACCAAGCAATTAGACCGGCAGATCAGAGCGCCGACACACACACACACACACACACACACACGCACACACCCGCGCGTGCACGACAGACCACAGTGGTTCCAGGCCTGTTACCGACAGGTGTTCATGACAGTGTTCCCACTGTCCAGGTCTGTCTCTCATGACTGCACTTCGGCTCACGATTGCCTCCTGTGCGAGCGAACACAGGATTGACCGACGGTTCTTGCGATTGATTGGTTGCTTGATTGACGGATGGAGTCTATCTGAGGAACGGAATACAGTTAGCAAACCAACAGACAGACCGAACCACAGAGACACAGAGACGCAGACAAAATGAAGCAAACACAAAGGCATGCAGACTTACAGACGGACATGCGTAGGGTAGGTAGGCAAAACCGATCTATCCGCATGAATGTATACCTGCTTACACATAAATATCAACATATGCCAAAATTACACATGCACACGTGATATATCGTACATAAAGGAAGGTGTCTATCTACATATAACCAAGCATGCGACCAAACATCCGCACATCCAATATCCACGGAGTCAGTCCTGATCCAGCATGGAATGCAATAAATAGCAACTCAACTCCCTCTCCCCACGCAGAATCTTCAGCCCTAAACCCTAAACCCTCAACCCTAAACCGGCTGCCTGCTTTCGTAAGCTCCCAAGACAACGACAGCGTGGGATCCCCAAATCCAGCGCAACTCCGGCACTGAAGGTTCCTCACATTTGTCTTTACCCTAAACCCTAAACCCGCACGACGGCTTGCGTGTACAAAGGAAAACCGACGAAATATCAGAATCAAGGCCCTCGATCGACCTTAGAAAAGGCCCAAAGGCTCCGTGTACCTCTATAGTAGATACTGAAGGCGTAAAGGCGCCGGAAGACCGAAGTACATACTATATGGGTACATGGAGCCTTTGGAAAAGGGAACCCTGCAGCACCTGCCATAAACGTGGCTCCAAAGCTTACGCCACATAAACCCCAAAGGCCCGATGCTCTGTGATCAGTAATTAACAAAAGCGACCTTACATCAATTTTCGAGAGCCGCGTACATAGGAGGCAGAGGAAATATCTAGGCCCGAAGGATTAGACCTGGGTACCGGGGGATCAGTATCTACACTAGGGAAACCCTGTACCCTAAACCCTGCTAGCTCTCCTCGGGGACCCTAAGTATTCGGACACTACTACGTGGATGATATAAATCCTGCATTACCCATAATGAGGAACATACCATAATTCCCATAGTTTGGGGTCCTTAAGGTAGTGCAGGACTTATATCATCACCACTACAACCCTCAACCCTATCACCCTAAACCCCATAAACCCTAAACCCCATAAACCCTAAACCCCATAAACCCTAAACCCCATGAACCCTAACCCCATAAACCCTAAACCCCAATAAACCCTAAACCCCATAAACCCTAAACCCCATAAACCCTAAACCCCATAAACCCGAAACCCCATAAACCCTAAACTCCTTAAACCCTAAACCCCATAAACCCTAAACCCCATAAACCCCACAACCCATAAATCCGTAAACATAGTAATCCTAACAAACACTAACAGTTATAATACACCATAATTCCCATATATTCCTTATTATGGGTAATGCAGGATTTATACCATCAACCGTAGCAGCCAGGCAAGGGCCGCACCAACTTGCAGGCTTCTCGCATGCCCTGGCTCTAAGGAGGCGTCTCGACAGTCTCGGTTCTTCTAAGCTCCCCGTACTAATGAGGGTTTAGGGTTTAGGGAACTATTTGGTTTTAATGAAGGAGCCCAAACGGAACAGTACTTGGAGGGTCGGGGGACTTAGTAAGTAGGTAGTAAGTAGACTTATAAGTACCCTAAAAGGGAGCCTAATTGGGGTTATGATACTTATATGTTCTTAAAATAATCAGTTACTATGTCCCCCGACCCTCCAAATAGCCCCGTACTAATCAGGGTACCCTGGTTCCTACCATTTGGTTTCTTCGTTGCGGAGTTCATAAGCCCCTAAAAGGTGCACACTTTCAGTTTATAGTGGGTAATATTACCTCCAAAAGTCTAAAGTGTATCCACTCAGCTACTAAGTTTTTAATAAAGGAGCCTTAAAAGAACAATGGCAAAAGGGCACTAAGGGAAACCTAGTCTTTGCAAGGGTTTGAGAGGCTTTAGGGTGTTGGGCCTAGGGTTCACAAGGTTTGGAGCAGAAGATGTTTGCAGTTTGGCTGAACATGTTAGGCTCCGAAACTTGAGCGGCCAAGTTTGCGACGGTAATTTCCGCTATGGTTGATACAAGATGATGTTGGAGTGGTCTTTCTTGACATCGTAGGCAGGTTTCGGTCTTACGACACCACGTTTGGGCTAGAGGGCTCAGGATTTAGGGTCCAGGACCTTTCGGATTTCTCGGGATGGTGAAGTTAGCGATACAGCCGGCCCTGAGGGTCCGTGTACCCAAACAGTATATACTTTGGCCCCAATATACTTCGGCCCCAGAGTACCTATATAGGGACTACTTTAGAGCCACAGTATACACTATTTGGGTACATGAGCCCTTAGACCAAAGTGAAAACCTCAACACGAACGGGCCACCATCCCACTCGAAGCAAGACAGTCAAGCCAATAGTTCCTCAAGTAAGGAGCATGGGCACTTCGATGACCCTAAAGCCTACAGGCGTTCCCTCTAAACTTGAATTTATACCCCAGGCCTGTAAGCCCGTAACCCCTAAGCCCTTAAACCCTAAGCTGGACACAGACCATGGCCTGTCAACCTGCCATCTGCAAGCCCTGGGCTTAACGTTAGGGTTTATGGCCTTTGCACAGAGATTGGGCCCAAATCCCTCACGCTACGAATCCGGAACGTAAGGCTGAAAGATATACATCTGTACTGAGATGTATACGCTAGAGTGAGTCTTTGAACCATTTCAATGCCTACACATTCTCTCAACAGTACAAGCCAGGACCAACCAATCCAAGCCATGTTGATATCAAACTCCAAAGCACATGTCCTTAGGAAGCCACTGTAAAACAGAAGACCATATCGGCCCTATCTAAACATAAACGAACGGCAACCAGTTCTTAAGTATACTACACCCACACGTCTGCATGTAGGTATGTCTGTAGATATGTGTTTTAAAGTATGTTTGTATTTATGTTTGTTTGTTTGTAAATATGTATGTGTTGGTGCGAAAAGTACATGTGCATGTGAGTAAGTACATATGTGTTGTGTAACCAGGCATGTACGAATGAACGAGCGTTTGATTGATTGAATGAACGAGTGCATGTGTATGCATGCATGAACGTGTGCATGCATGGATGGAACGATGCATGGACACGCGGCCAACTATTCGTGTACACACACACACGCACACACACACACATGTGTGTGTGTGTGTTTGTGTGTGTGTGTGTGTGTTTGTGTGTGTGTGTGTGTGTGCGTGTGTGTGTGTGTGTGTGTTTGTGTGTGGGTGTGTGTGTGTGTGTGTTTGTGTGTGGGTGTGTGTGTGTGTGTGTGTGTGTGTGTGTGTGTGTGTGTGTGTGTGCGTGCGTGCGTGCGCGTCCGCGCGTGTAAGTAAATATATGTATATGTATGTGTATATATATATGTATACACATACAAGATCATACAAGTACATCTACATGTGTATATATATATGTCTTTATATATAGGGTCTCGGATCAGCTGGTGCAACAGCGCACCATATAGCCAAGACCCCAGTGCCTTAGAATCATTGCCCCATGGGGAAAAGGCACGTCTGCCGGCTACGGGACAGCAAGTTTTTCATGCGGAGCTTCATCAAGTTGGCTGGCTTTCATATACATCTAGCAAGTCATGAGACTCGGAATCTCGAGGAGGATTCGGAGTTGGAGATCCTCTTCCAGATGAGCCGCTTCGGAGGAATCCTGCATGGTGTCAGGGAGGGCTTTTCCCCAAGTGACATGAACTTCGTCACCGAAACCATGAGGACTTGCAGAGCGTTCACAGCAGTTGGAGCAGAAGGTGCCATAAAGAGAAAGCACTTCTACCGCAAACTGCACAACTTAATTATGGCAGTGGGGATGGTTGATGTGCTTCCTCGGGAGGTTGGTGGCCCAGGCCACAATCTCCTCCTCGAGGCACTCATGGACGAGCCAGAGGACACCGAACTGCAATGGTGGTGGTTGGTGCTGGAAACGCTGCTTTCGGGGACCAAACAAAATCGTAGCGGTTCCACACGAGCTAGCGGAGTGTCATGCTCTGCTCGCCGGATGCGACTACACGTTGCAGTCAGGTGGAAGCTGCATGGATTTGGGCAGTCGGAAGCTGTCTGCCGCCCGGACTGGCGGCATGAAGGACGCTTGAAGTTGGCGTCTACGAATGGTGGCTACTTGTGATTTGTCCGCCCGTGCATTGTGGCAGTCATATACATTGCCACTTTGCCTACAATCGGCGGCTCTACCGGAGTTGAGATGCGCTGCAGCTCCTTTTGAACTGATTGCGTGTGTTGCCCAGCATGCGCGTCTGTATATACGCAGTCACTGTACATGGCGCGTGCGTTGGAGCGGGCGTGGCTTATTTAAATCAGCCATGTGGGGTTTTTGTCTTGTAGTTTGCCTTCCCCGACCCCTGGAGGAATAGGCTCAGGACTTTGAATGTTTAGTAGCCGGTTTCTGCGGGTTCCGCTGCATTTAGTAGAACCCGTCTTCCTGTCCTTTTGCTGTTTGCGCTTAAGTCTTAGTTGAGACCTGGAAGCCAGTCAATAACTGCTGTCTGTGGTCACTTGCAGTCCGCTTGTTTTCCTGAAAGAAGCTCGACAGAGACAGCTTTTCCGGCGCTGGTTCCATCTCTCTCGAGGCCTTTCAGAGCAGATTTCTGCGCCGTGTGCTGTAAGCACGTGAGCGCATACTGCGTTTGAATTCATTTGTGCAATAGGCGCGTCCGCACTGGACCCATAGCCTCACGAAGAAGAATGTCTTTATATAAACATGCACACACCTGTACACGCAACCGAGATGTGAATAGACAAACAGAGAGGGACAGAGAGAGAACAAAAACAAAGAACTACAACAAGAGTAAAGATTCCCCCTGAACGTTAAACTTCGCTAAACTCCACCAAGTAGGCTTCGGATTGGCCCGCCTCGATCTGCTCGGGGGTCTTGACCTCCAGGATCAACCTTTCCTCCGCGGTGTTGTCCAAGCCGAGGTAGTACCTACGCTGAGGATTTAGGGCCCTTTAGGGGGTTGAGGGGGTTGGGGACGATTGGGCTTGCCTCTGGGGTTAGCGGATTTAGAGCTTTGGTGTTTTGATCCATGAAGATTTGTGTGGACGGCAGCCCTGACGGCAACTAACTACCATGAAACCTACATAAAGCACATGAAATAGCGAGCATGTCGGCCATGTTGGACAACAAAACCTCGTCGCCGATGAAGCAGAAGCTTGTAAGCAGCACGGAGCCGGCGAGATAAGAATGCAAAGTTCGAGCAGGAATGACATAAGGCCCCAAAGTAGTTCCTTTTTGGGGTTCATATATAGAATCCTATAATGTAATCCCAAAAAGGAACTACTTTAGGGCCTATGGGTCGACAACAGCATCCAAGAGCCCGGAGATACAGAGCCTTGCCAACGCTCTTCCACCATACCACGACACAGGGCATGTACATCGCGTGCCCCACCGCCCCACAAACGGTCACAACCATCGCGAAAAAATCCATGCAAGGGAGAGATCCTCATCTAGCGGATTGTTGGGATCGGATTTATAATAACATGTTTATTCCTTATTTGGTTTAAGTACCCATAAAAATTGAAAATGTTACCCAACTAAGACAAAGTCATATATGTCGAGCAATCGTCACAATGCCGCAGGTTTTTCGAAGGCCCTCTGCTGGACTATCGTAGCTTTCACAAATCTGTCAACAGGCTTTCAGATTCTCCAACTGGTGCTTCGTCATCAAGCAGCCATCGTACATCACAAAACTGTGAAGCAAGCTGTATGTGACTGCATCAGAACTCATCCTGCGCCAGCCCCGGACATGTACCGCGTCCTACAGCAGCAGCTGCGTGCATGCAATGGCAATATGTGAAGGCAAGGGGGGACAGTCAGCTCCGGTCTCAGTTCTCCAACTGGTATCCGTCACCATGCAGCCCTGTAACCACTGTCACATGTGGGGGCCGTGTGACCTCCTCGGACTCATCCCGCAACCGGGCAGACTCCATGCAAGGGAAATCAAACAACTGTCACAACGCAAGACCCGTGAAACCTGAGAGCCACACCTCTTGCTGCAGAGACACAACGGCCTTGCACATCGTGTGCATGACGCTACCAGTCACGGGAACAATTAAGCAAGGTGCAGCAGCACACATCACTCGATAAATCGTGCAACATGCAGCAGGTGTGAGGAATGCCCTCTGCTAGACAATCGTAGCTTTCAAAAATGTGTGAACTGGCTTTCAGATTCTCCAACTGGTGCTTCGTCATCAAGCAGCCATCGTACATCACAAAACTGTGAAGCAAGCTGTATGTGACTGCATCGGAACTCATCCTGCGCCAGACCCCGACATGCACCTACAGAAAGCAGCTGCATGCATGCAACGGCAATGGGGGGGCGAGGAGGGTAGACAGCCTCGGTCTCAGTTCTCCAACTGGTATCCGTCACCATGCAGCCTTGTACCCACTGTCACATGTGGGGGCCGTGTGACCTCCTCGGACTCATCCCGCAACCGAGCGAACTCCATGCAAGGGAAACCTGACAACTGTGATAGCGACACCTGCCAAACAAGACGCTTGATACCTGAGATACACCAGCATGGCCACACCTCTTGCTGCTGCACATCTGGTGGGTCACGGTACCAGTCACAGGAACAGCCAAGTAAGGTGCAGCAGCGCACACACACACACACACACAATTCGGGCCAGCGTTCAACATGCAGCAGGTCTGTCGAATGCACTCTGCTAGACAATCGTAGCTATCGGCTACTACAAAACTGTCAAACGGCTTTCAGATTCTCCAACTGGTGCTTCGTCATCAAGCAGCCATCGTACATCACAAACTGTGAAGCAAGCTGTATGTGACTGCATCAGAACTCATCCTGCGCCAGACCCCGACATGCACCAAGTCCTACAGAAAGCAGCTGCGTGCATGCAACGGCAATGGGGGGGCGAGGAGGGTAGACAGCTTCGGTCTCAGTTCTCCAACTGGTATCCGTCACCATGCAGCCTTGTACCCACTGTCACATGTGGGGGCCGTGTGACCTCCTCGGACTCATCCCGCAACCGAGCAAACTCCATGCAAGGGAAACCTGACAACTGTGATAGTGACAGCTACCAACCAGGACGTTTCATACCTGACATACACCAGCATGGCCACACCTCTTGCTGCTGCACATCTGGTGGGTCACGGTACCAGTCACAGGAACAGCCAAGTAAGGTGCAGCAGCACACACACGCACACGCACACACACACACACACACACACACAATTCGGGCCAGCGTTCAACATGGAGCAGGTCTGTCGAATGGACCCTGCTAGACAATCGTAGCTTTCAAAAATCTGTCAACTGGCTTTCAGATTCTCCAACTGGTGCTTCGTCATCAAGCAGCCATCGTACATCACAAGACTGTGAAGCAAGCTGTATGTGACTGCATCAGAACTCATCCTGCGCCAGCCTCCCTACATGCACCAAAGTCCTACAGAAAGCAGCTGCATGCATGCAATGGCAATATGTGAAGGCAGGGGGGACAGTCAGCTCCGGTCTCAGTTCTCCAACTGGTATCCGTCACCATGCAGCCTTGTACCCACTGTCACATGTGGGGGCCGTGTGACCTCCTCGGACTCATCCCGCAACCGAGCGTGAAGCATTGCGATCTCATGAAGCCACGGTCTGGTCAAGCAGAGTGGCTGCCTGATGAGGGGTCGGCTGGAGCACCTGACCCCGACTTGACTTGCCCACCGAAACGGCTGATGATATAAATCCTGCATTACCTCAAGGACCCTAAACTATGGGAATTATGGTATATTCCTTATTATGGGTCATGCAGGATTTATATCATCAACCGAGCCATGCTGCTCGGTCTGCTGCGCGCTAAGCCGCTAATCGAGATGTTGCCCAGACCTTCCAAAACCCCTTAATTAAGGAATATACCTTAAATTATAATAGGATCCCTAATAAGATTTAAGGTATATTCCTTAATTAAGGGTTTTTGGAAGCTCTGGGTGGTTCCAGTGGCATGTGCTTGGTCAATGGAGCGCTATCGTTGTTCACTCGCCCAAAGGCTCCATGTACCCATATAGTAGCTACTTAGGCCTTAAAGTAACCATATAGGGACCCCTTTAAGGCACCTAAGTGCCTACTATATGGGTACATGGAGCCTTAGGGTCGAATCGCAAGAAGAACATGGCAGAACCCAGGTGATCGAGCGGAGGAGCTCCAAAAATCAGCTCAACAGACTTTCCCAAAGGGTCCTTCCTATAGTCTCCATTGTAGTTCCTCCTTTTTTTGGTTAACCAAAATCTCTATTATACGGTCCTAACCATTAAATTTGTTAACCAAAAAAAGGAACTACAATGGAGACTATAGGTAAGTATCGACATGGGGGGCGCATATTCTACCAACACCACAATAGTTTGTAGTTTCTGCTATAGAAACCCTATACTCATCCACCATATAGGTACTTCGGACCCTTTGGCATTTGGCATTTTCTCAAAGCACGTGTCATCTGAGGTGACATTGCCACAACGGCAGGGGGCACTCGTGCCGAGGAAAACCATCTTGTGGACAGCCTCAGGGCAGCTTTCAACTTCGGAGTTGAAGGTTCAGGGTTTCGGGCCCAGGATACGGTTGATGATGTAAATCCTGCATTACCTTAAGGACCCTAAACTATGGGAATATCATCCACCGTAGTTCCCCATAGTTCATGGTCGTCTGTATATACCTCCTGTATATCTTCTAGTATCGATTGTTTGTGTTACCTTTCTGTGAGATCTGCAGTTGGAGATGAACGTTCAAGCCATGACTTTGAATATGCACTGACGAGTCCGTCGCAGATCCACGCAGCAGTTTCTGAAGAGTTTGGCCTCTAAAAACAGCTAACAGTGACAGCTGACAACAATAAGCGCAACAACAACTGCAATATGTGAACATGGTGAACAGAAACTCACAAATACTAAACACAATAATTAACGTAGCTGCTTGTACGGTTTGGGATTCAAGTCTTTTTAACCCCCGACCAGCGTTCTCTCCTGCCCCCCTATCCCAGGCCACTTCTGACTATCTCAAGCACATTCAACTAGTCAGAGTTTAGGGTCAGTCTTGAGTAGGTTTGGGGTTCTGGGTGATGGGTTTGGGATTGGAGTTTGGGTTAGGAATTGGTTTTGGGGGTTTAGGGCTGGGGGCTAC